ACAGCAAGTTTGCAGATGACACTAAACTGGGAGGCGTGGTAGATACACTGGAGGGTAGGGATCGGATACAGAGGGACCTAGACAAATTAGAGGATTGGTCCAAAAAAAACCTGATGAGGTTCAACAAGGAGAAGTGCAGAGTCCTGCACTTAGGACGGAAGAATCCTATGCACTGCTACAGACTAGGGACCATATGGCTAGGTAGCAGTTCTGCAGAAAAGGACCTAGGGGTCACAGTGGACGAGAAGCTGGATATGAGTCAACAGTGTGCTCTTGTTGCCAAGAAGGCTAACGACATTTTGGGCTGTATAAGTAGGGGCATTGCCAGCAGATCGAGGGACGTGATCATTCCCCTTTATTCGACATTGGTGAGGCCTCATCTGGAGTATTGTGTCCAGTTTTGGGCCCCACACTACAAGAAGGATGTGGAAAAATTGGAAAGAGTCCAGCGGAGGGCAACAAAAATGATTAGGGGTCTGGAGCACATGCCTTATGAGGAGAGGCTGAGGGAACTGGGATTGTTTAGTCTCCAGAAGAGAAGAATGAGGGGGGATTTGATAGCTGCTTTCAACTACCTGAAGGGGGGTTCCAAAGAGGATGGAGCTCGGCTGTTCTCAGTGGTGGCAGATGACAGAACAAGGAGCAATGGTCTCAAGTTGCAGTGGGGGAGGTCTAGGTTGGATATTAGGAAACACTATTTCACTAGGAGGGTGGTGAAGCACTGGAATGCATTACCTAGGGAGGTGGTGGAATCTCCTTCCTTGGAGGTTTTTAAGTTCAGGCTTGACAAAGCCCTGGCTGGGATGATTTAGTTGGGGTTGGTTCTGCTTTGAGCAGGGGGTTGGACTAGATGACCTCCTGAGGTCCCTTCCAACCCTGATAGTCTATGATTCTATGATATGTGAATGTACCTCCTTCTAACAACCCTCTTCTTGCCAACTTCTGTGAGTGAGGCCTGCCTCTGGCTCACAGCCCAGCTTTTGCTTAGCAATGCCTGGAAGTACTTTGGTTCAGGCTTCAGGCCTCAGACTGGGCCCCTGACACAAGAGTTTATGTTTCAGGGCCTCATCTTACTACATTGGCTATTTCACTACCACCTACATTTTAAATTCCAGTTTGGGCAAATCCTCAGGTCCTTACTCAGGGCCAGAGCATGTCCTAAAGAAGTGTGTATGCAGGGAACCTTCAGTGCATGAATCTTTCCCCACCCGTAGAGAAAGGCAGAGTTAGCTGTGTCCTTTGTAATCATGCAGAGGGCTGTACACACCTCCAGGGATCTGTGAACAGGGAAGGGTGTGGAATGGGAAGGGCGATGGGGCCATGCATTCTGGAGGTTTGGAAGAATTTCCCCTCAAGCAGGAAAATCCATCAAAAAGAATATGTCTGAGGCACCAACAAAAAACACATCACTAAAGAGCGGCCCACATTTTTCTATAATCTCTATATTGAGGTTGGATTTTAAAGTGTCATCTCGGCATGTTCTGTGTAGGCATGTTGTATACATTATTGCCACAGAGAAGTGAACTGTACTTTCCCCTTAGATTTCCCTGCCAAGCTTGTGGTTGTATATTTCAAGGCTACCGTTTCTCTAAGAGTACTTGGAATGTCACTCAGAATGGGACTGATTTGGCCATCCTTGTTCACTTTTAGTAACACTTCATGAGAAATCCCTCTGAAATCCAGTGGACTACCTGAGGGTTGTGAATAAGGGTGGCAGAATCATGAACAGTTAGCTTCCTTTGAGTCTGATTATGCCATTGAAATAAATGGGGTCTACTCAATGTGCGTGTGTGTGTGTGACTGAACTAGTTACAATGAATGATTTTATTTTGGGCCTGATTCTGTGTCCCTTACTTAGGTGGAGTAGCTAGTACTCATGCATTTACTCACATTGAATCGGATGGGGGTAGTTGTGTTAGTGCTACTAAACGTGCCTAAGGAAGCAGAACTGAACTCTCAGTAAATTTAGCCTCTTTTTATGTCCTCAAATAAAAGTGCACAGACTTTAAGCTTTAGTAATCGACTTGTTATTCATCAGTACTCCCCTGATAGTTTAAACAAACACATTTCAGTGCCTGGATCATGCACAAACTATTTGTTTTGACTGTATCATGGAATGTTTTGCTTTTCGTGACAAATGACTGATCATCTAAGGCTATGTCTACACCACCCCAGAGTTCGGATTACAGGGGGGTATGAATAACAGTGCACAGCAAAGTGTTGTGGTATAACTCCCCCCTCACAGGACTATATTAGTGTGATCTAGGAACCTTTACATTGTGCCCACAGCGTCCACAGGGGGGAGTTAAAGCACAGCACTTTGCTGCACGCTGCTATTCACACCCCCGTAGTTGGACCTGCAGGGCAGTGTAGACAAAACCTAAGTCACATGGTAGTGTTTCTGCTACTTGTCTGGATCATTGAAACGTTAATTTAAAAATAAAAGGAAGGAAATACAGCGATTTCAACATGACCACACAAACATTTCTGGCACGGATCTTTGTATGAAGGCATGTTTACATAATCATCCAGAAGATGTTTGTGTACCTTGAATGTTCTTTTGTGAACGAAAACATCATTCATGCAGATGTTCCTAGGAAATGAATTAAAATGGTTGCAAATAATATCACAGGAAGTATTTGTGGTTTATACTCAGACAAATCACTGCAAAGACTTTTTTACTGATTCCACTCAGCTCTAGCCCTGCTAACTTCACTTCCGAACAAATAAAGCACATTTTGGTGCTATATATTTTTCTAAGCATTTCAAAGGTTTTTGAGATACTTCTCTAACATCTGCTTTTATTTCCTTACTTCCTTTTCCTGATTCGAACATAAAATATTCAGCAAACTATAATTTAGAGGGTAAGATATTCTTGTATGTTGAAATAGCTCCCATCATGCTATGTTAGGATGATATAACCTTTATCCCTAAAGCAAACCATTGAAAATGGCAAACCAAGGCCACAATTATCATGGAGATAATGCTTTGTTGTGCAAATATATTGTCACTGGGAGAGGAGATGGGGGGACCATAATGCGGCTTGAAATAGGTACACAAAAAATAAGCTGGATACAAAAGAGATCCTGGGGAAAGCTGTTTTATCAGTTGGCTGTGGGCTGTGACAACAGTGCCAAAGGAAATTATTCTAAGGAAAACAGTTGAGTAGTCCTGCTATGCTAGGATTAGTTTTCTTTTCCATTTTTTCTCTCTCCTCCAAAAGTGCAAAGGATATCTGCTGTAATGGACTGCGAGCTTGTACAGGGACCTTATATTCTGTTTACAAAGAAGCCACAATACATATCGCTGCAGTCCACTCAAATCCTATTTGTAGCACTATTTATATAACAATTCATTAGTTTAATTTAGTTGTGGCTATCTCCATTGCAGCTGTGCAATATGCCTTTCAGCCAGTCTCTCCTTATGCCACCCTGTGCTACCTTCTTTGGGAAATAAGAGCTCATCTTTATATTAAAATAATGTTCTGTGTTACATTTTACAAAGAGAGGACCAGTCTTGCGTGGTGACAGCGTTATCAAGTCCTGCGTCTTCATTGGGAGACAATGGTGCTTAGGGCTTCTTGGCAGCTGGTCAGCACCTACAGCATAAGGAGGTCATCATTCCTCAGGTGCTGGCTCAACACCTCTCAAAATGGGCCCAAAATGGACCTGATCCTGCAAGCTGACTGTCCTCTGCTGCTTTTGAAGGCAATAGCAATTAAGGACACTCAGCACCTTGCAACATTGGGCCCAATGTGCACTGTTCATGGTCTTAACTATCTTTGAAACATTGGGGGACTTTGGAAAAATACATTCTTTCTGCTAAATTACACTTTGCAGGGAGAGGATCTGAAAATTGGTGTCTAAGTTGTCTGCAGAATAAAGCTTCTTACTTACGTCCAGATCATCCGTACCCCCATGGAAAGGGCATAAACAATTCAGGAAATGCCAAGAGTGAAAACTCTTGAGGTATTGTTTGCTTGTATTGTGGTAGTGCCTAGGCAGAGCTGTCCCTTGGGTAGGGCGAATCAGAGCGACCGCTCCCGGCCCCGCTTTTTGGGGGGCCCCATGGGCTGGTGCGGTTCGCCGGTGCAGTTGGTCCCGGAAGAGATGAATCCGTCATTTCCACCCTGGGCCGCGCACTTCCCTAGGGACGACCCAGTGCCCAGGGCTCCAGTGATAGACCAAGCCCTCACTGTTCTAGGTGCTGTACAAGAGGCAACATCCCCTCCGGGTAAAAGAGTATTCCTGGAAGAAATCAGGATTGTGGCCCTTCAATGCCACAGATATTCTTGGATCTGTAGAAATTTTAGGGCTTCTATGCTTAGGGCAGGGTCTGGCCCTCCATGTTATGTTCCCTTAGGGCAGGGTCAGGCCCTCCATGTTAGGCTGCTGTTACTTCCTGAAGCAGGAATGCAAAATGTTATGATGCGATGAACAGCATTGGCTTCTACTGAGAATTGCACCAGAATGCCCCAAGGTATGGAGGGGGATGATGCCACAGAGAGTGGCCATACCATAGTTTCATCCCGGAGCCCAAACACCTACAGCAGGTAGTTTGCCCAGACAGTCTTCCAAAGGGTCTTGGGAATAGGGGATGTTGCCTCATGGATTTCCCTTCCCTATTTATATGCATTACTTCTCCTCTACAAACAAACAGTGGGAGGGATAACATGGCCTCATTCAAGATAATTGTATTTAAAAGGAAAATAGCATGCATTGCTACTTTTCCTTCATTAGACTAATATTTACTCTGGCCCACGTATGCACATTGGAGACCAGGAGCAATATTAGAACCATTATAAAAACACAGTGACAAGCCCTTCTTTCTTTCATAGCCTCACCTTGTTTGTTGTACTGTTTAACAACAGGACAGAAATGTTTGAAATGGAATTTTATATTTCCTGTAACACACAAATCTCAGCAGCTGATTTCCTGCAGACATATATTTAATATGCCAGTACAAAGCTTCTCTCAGAACAATACGTCTCTCTCTTCTAGTTATCCAGTTTGGCTTTGTCACGCTCTTCGTTGCCTCCTTCCCTCTGGCTCCAGTGTTTGCCCTTCTCAACAACATCATAGAAGTTCGGCTGGATGCAAAAAAGTTTGTTTCTGAGTTAAGGAGGCCAGACACAGTGAGAGAAAAAGATATAGGTACGTAATGAAGAATCATTGCAATGATGGCAACACCTGGAATTCACCTCGAAAGAGGAAATTAAGATTAATCCTGTAACAAAGCTTTGCTATTAACTCTCTTACAGGAATTTGGTATAACATTCTGAGTGGTATTGGAAAGTTTTCAGTTATCATTAATGTAAGTATTTGATTATGACTTTATGAGCTTATTTTTTTCTCTTAAGCCTAATTTAAATTTTGAGCAATGCCTACTTTCTTCAATTGCCATAAAATACAATAAAAAACTAAGTTACCCAATTTGCTACTCCTTGGGTTTAAAACATTATGTAATGTTACATAGAATCAGAATTACATGAGACATGTACATTTACTCATCTCTGTTTCTGAATTATTATGTTTTGTGGGACATGAAGATTAATTTATACAGGAATCACACATTAATGGGCCAGATCCTGCAATTATTAGTCAGGCAAAATTCCAAGCACGCCAATAGAGGACTAAGTCTCATTTATTAAAAATGCTGTATGAGAACTAGGTATTATAATGCTTAGACACATTTACGTCATTCTCTGGCAGTGTAAATATAGGTTTGGATGAAGTCAGTGTGAATGTAATTTACTTGAGCAGTGTAAAGGAGCCTAGGGCCTTATCTCAAAGAAAAAGTTTTGCCAGTTATGCAGCTATTGTTATACACGTATAGTTATACCAGTAGACACTTAAGTAGACACTCTGATTCCAATATAAGAGTGGCATTTTTTGGTGTACCTTAAACCCCTTCTCAAGCAACATATGTTAGACTGAAAAAGGTCACCCATACCAGAAAAAGAGTGTCTGCTTGGGGGAAGGGGTGTTATGCTGATTATAACTATATTGGTTTAAATTCACACCTTAGGTTATACTGTAAACCTTTCCCATGTAGACAAGGTCTTAGTATACATGAGAATCAGGCCCCTGGGGTTTAATCATAATAATACCCAGTACTTTTTCACCATAGATCTCAAAGCACGTTAGAAAGGAAATGGATATCATCACAGATGAGGAAACTGATGTGCAAAGAAATGATGTGATTTGCCCAAGTGGCAGAGCCAGGAATAGAATGCAGATCTCTCACTCCCAATGCTAAGCCATATCAGCAGAACCACGCTACCTCCCTCAGTTATACCTAAGTGCACGTTGCAGGATCAGGCCCTATAGTTATTTACATTTTCAGACATACTCTAGTTGCTTGTATTCTCCAAGTGCTTTAATTAAAACACCAGGTATGCTGCCCCTCTGTTGTCGGAAGCTGGAAAGTGAAAATGTGCATACTTGAGTTTAAAAAATATTTAGGTCCAGATTCTGTCATCTTTACTCAAGTATCATTTTTTCAGTGGGACTACTCACAGAGTAGGGTGGCAGAATATGGCACTCATTTAACTATTATTTGCACATTCTAAATGCTTCTGGGGCTAATTCTGATCTCATATCCGTTTGACACCAGAGTAAACTCCATTGACTTCGTGGAGCTACTCCAGATTTAGAATGGAGCAAGGGAACCGAGAATGTGTCTTATGGGCCACACCTCAGCTGGTATAAGTTGGCATAGCGCCAGTGAAATCAGTGGAGCTACACCGATTTATACCAGCTCAGGATCTGGCTGTTATATATGCTGTGGTCCTGCTCCTGCACTCTTTGTAGTCAGTGGTAAAACTCCCATTGAGATCAATGGGGGCAGGATTAAGACCAGTATATATGAGGCAATTGTTGTAATTACTCTTTGCTCTTAAAAATGTCCCACCTGCCTAGCTATATACTTTCCTTGGAGACAGAGGTGACACATAACTGTTGATAGTTGGGGGGGGGGGAGGTTTGGAAGGGGGAGAGGGTACAATTTTGAATTCACTCCCTGCCAAAAAAAAAAAAAAGTATAAACCTTGGCAGAAATCTGGCAGGGCATGTAAACCCATGTGCCGCCCACAATCCCACGAGTTTCCTCTGCCTGGAGAGAGAGACAGCAGGCTAATGTAGTTTAAAAACACTTATTCTTTGCTGTGTCTGGCAAGTCCTCTCTCACTTGTGAGGTTGCAAAACTGATCATCATTATTCTATATTTATTTGAACATGAAAACTATCACCTGAATTCAATTAATCCAAAACACATCATCTGTAGATTCACTGGGTTATTTTTTGTCTCCCAGGCTTTTGTAATCTCTGTCACATCTGATTTCATTCCACGCCTTGTGTATCAATATGCATACAGTCAAAATGGAACCATGCATGGCTTCATCAATCACACCCTCTCATACTTCAATGTTAGTCATCTCAAGGCTGGAACACAGCCAGACATCTCACAGTTTGAACAGGAAGTTATATTCTGCAGGTAAAGTAGCTCTAACGACACTTTGTGGAGGTAAAGTCAATTGTTTCAGTCACATGTTAGATAAAAGTGTTTCCTCTCTGAGTTAGACCTGAGAAGCTTTTCTATTCTTTTAAACTATGATCTTCTTAGTTAATTCAGATATGGTTTTTAGAATATGCAAAATCCAGTGGTGCCTCCATGCATAGAATGAACAGCTTCATCCAAGACTTCTGCTGAACATAAAAACCTAGACCTCAATTCTTTTCCTACTGACATCAAGGACAAAACTCTCATAGATAAGAATGGAAGCAAGATCACACCTTAAAAACACACTCCCTCTAATTAGAACAACATTTCCTCCCTTACGGGGTCCCGTTTTCCCCACGCTTTCCCCTGCTTGAAAACCCACACCTTTCTCATGGTCACTCGCTTTAATACCATGTTTTCTGAGAAGGAACACTAGGGGGAATTCCCTTCAGAACCTATCAACAGTATTTAGTCTGTTGTCCCTTAAGCCGAGCAGAAAGCCAAAGTTTGGAGGCTTGTGAGGCAGTATGTAGTTGTCTTTGGAAGAACACCCCTAGTGGCGGTCATTAACACCAGCCCCAGTTATGGAGCTAGCTGCATTTCTGTCCCCTTTCTGGTCTGTCCAAGAGCACCCAGTTTAGGTCTTGGGCCTCTTGCCCTTACCTGTATCAAAGGGAATCACTCAGTTCTTCCACTCTCAAACCAGGATCTAGCTTCAGTACCAATTGGTATTGCCCTGCAAGTCTGACAGGGTTTAGGGAACCCTATTTCCTCCCTTCAGGAACCTGTGACCAGTGATGGGGACCAACAGCCTTGTTAGAACAAAGTACTTTTATTTGGAAGCTGGAACAAAGCATTACAGAAAAAGGGATGTAAAAACACAAACAGCCGACATTCATGTCTATTTTACCTCAAGTCCCACCATCTTAGTTGGGAATTAGGCAGGCCTAGCTTCTCCAGACATGTCAACGGGTTGCTGCTTGAGTGTCTTTTCAATCTGGTTCCCCCGTGCATCCCTAAGAGAATGTCCTTTTATATCCCATGAGAGTTCTAAGTTCCTCCTCACACCCCAGACGTCTTCATTGCTTGTGGGTTTTGTCCCCTCCTGGTCAAACCAGTTCCATAGGCTCAGAGGGGAACTGAGCCAGAATCAGCAGAGCTAGTAGTTCTGGCAATGTCCTTTAGCATTCCCTTTAATAGAAGCCGATAAGGGACCACTTGAGCCCCCTCTGCCTGACCTATCTCAGACAAACCCCTAGTGAGGAGCAATTAAAGCAAACCATTCACACCGAAAACAGCACCCCAGTAAAACTTATTACAGGGCCCTCTATATTTGCCACAGCCCCTAAGTCACTACGGCTGAAGGTTTTGCCTGTTTATTATTTCTAACCATAGCTGAAATGGGGACTTAGATACCAAAACTAGACATCAGATCCAGAGGGCTGATTCTGTTCTCCTTTGGACCAGTTTTATAACACAGTATCTCCATAGATTTCAGTGAAGTTATTTCTGATGAACATTACCATTAAGGGAGATCTGAATCTGGCCCCACGTCTCCACTATGGTGCTGCCAAAGCTTGTGGGCATGGTATTATACTGGCTATTTTGAATAAGTAAATCTAATTATATTTAAAATATGAATGCTGAGCTATTCTATGTCAATGAACTTTGTCAGCATTATACTTTAATCGTTTTATATTCATAAATCCGTAGATTATCTTGAACACGGAGATGCTGGCATGTAATACTGTGAGTCAGCATAGAAATCATGCTGTATTTCCTGGTTAGAAACCCTCCCATTCCCGACACCGGTTAACTAATTTTGTCTTAGATAAATATCTCATTATTAGCTGCAGTGATCCCTACATTTCTCTATACATACTATAGGCAGTTTCTAGGCAATATTGTAAATACACCTATTATTACAGCTATCTAAAGCAACTGGACATTTTGTAGGGTGGTCATTGACCTATATAAGTATTCCTGTCTTTTATATAAACTATAAAAGTGGCTCTTGTTATGACAGAAAAGGCTAATAACTAGCTAGCTGTAGAGTCAATGGGGAGTGTCCCACATGTGTAAAGTAGTTGTTTTCAAGAAGAGAAATCCAAGTTGTCATTGTTTGGTGTGGAATGTGAACAGTTATCCAATGTTGCCATCCTGATCTATGTGAATAATCTTTACTCGTACAAGTGATCCCATTGATTTCACGGAGTAAGGATTACTCAAGTGAGTAAGGGCCACATGGTCAGGCTCCAAGATATGAGTAGTAGGTAGGGTGGGTGGGTAAGCCAGAACAGTGCAAATGTCCTGCGATGAGGGCTGCAACACCCAATTAGCAGACTAATGCCTGGTCTACACTGGGGGTGGGGGATCGACCTAAGATACGCAACTTCAGCTACAAGAATAGCGTAGCTGAAGTCAACGTATCTTAGGTTGACTTACCTCGCGTCCTCACGGCGCGGGGTCACCTGCCGCCGCTCCCCCGTCGACTCCGCTTTCACCTCTCGCCACAGTGGAGTACAGGAGTCGACGGCAGAGCAATCGGGGATCGAATTATCGTGTCTACACTAGACACGATAAATCGATCCCCAATAGATCGATCACTACCCGCCGATCCAGCGGGTAGTGTAGACGTACCCTAAGAGAGAGCACTGAGTCATTGTGAGAGTGGACAGCACTTGTAACAAGCAGACCGCTGAAACCCAGAGGAAGGACATGGGGCACAGGCCACTTGCCGGTTTAAACTAAAGTAAATGGTGGATTCTCTGAAACTTGGAGTCTTTAAACCATGATTTGAGGACATCAGTAACTCAGCCAGAGGTTAGGGGTCTATTACAGGAATGGGTGGGTGAGGTTCTGTGGCCTGCAATGTGCAGGAGGTCAGACTAGATGATCATGATGGTCCCTTCTGGCCTTAAAGTCTGTGAGACAGTAGAAAGAGCAAAAACCCTCCGGTGGCTAATAGGGACATTGTGGGAAGCAATGGTGTGGCATGTCCAATAAGCACTGCTGGTGATGGGGACTCTGCTCAGTGTTATCTTCTACTCACCTGTTCGTCTGTGGCAGGCAAGATATAATTGTCTTAAAGCTATGCTCTGGGCCTCCTTTTGCCAAATTGCTCTTCTCCTCCATTTCTCTATGTTGCTAGCAAATAACTCTCTAGCACAATACAGAACTATTACATGCTTTTAGATTGTCCTCCAAGTGTCTGTGAAGCATTCCTTCTCCCCTCCTCCATCCCCCCGATTTTTGTTGTCCAAGGTGGCTATACGTTATTATTTTAGGTAGTCTCTCATCAGTCATTCCTGTGACATGGCCATCTCACTTCAGTGGTGTCTCTGGTGTCTTGGTGTTGATTCCAGTTACTTGGACTTGCTCACAGCTTCATTGTCTGGTGTATGACTGTTAATTTACCTGGAAGATTGTCCACTGGCAGCAATGATGAAACGCACTGCTTGGGTTTACATGGCCTTGATAGGGCTGCAAAACAAAGAGCAGAGCAAAACCATAGCAGATGAAATTCTAGTTCATTGTCTGGAGCTGCATGTCAGGTACATTCCAATTCTTCCCTCTGAGCAGAAAGTGTCTCCTGTACTGAAAACAAGAAACCCAAGTTAAAAGTCTGACTCTGTACCAGACTAATCTGATGTTGGTTCAGTGAGAAACAAATGAGAACATTTTTCTTCCTTTAATTATCAGGAAAATACTATGGGAAGATATTAGCAAGTTTGCTGGTCATTTCTGAATATCACCCGCCTCAGTGAAATCTTATCAAAGTCACAGCTTTGGCTAGAACACTAATTGTGATAAAACATAGGATATCTAACTCCAAACCCAGGAGACATGCTACAAACAGTGTCCCTTTTACTAGAAAAAAAAAACTGTTTCTTTTTCTGGCAAATACGTTGGGAACAAGCTGACCTCTCTTATTCTTAGATTTCTGTGACCTCTGGAGATAAATGTAGTTACAATAAGATTGAATTTTGCTCCTTACGGGCATTACCAGAGATTAAGGTATCTTAAAAATAACCATAACAAGTTAGAAAATTCTCCCACTGAACATCCAGAATAAATTCTCTGAATATTTTGAGCAGCATTTTATGCAATGCTGTGAACTCTTTGGCACGACTTCCAAATAAACATTGCTGTGATGCTAATCGGTTGCATATCATTAGTTGTAATGATTTTTCAGAGCAAAAGGACATTTGTGTAGCTATTGCTAAAGGCAAATTAAAAGCAAACTGGGTTAAGTTATATGTCATTTTTATTGCCCTAGTCCTTTTAACCTTTATAATCTCACGCAATAATGGAGTACATGAAAACATGCTGGTCACATACGCACATTCAGAAGAGAAAGAAGGCAGATACAAATCTTTAAAGGGAGTTTTT